AAAGTTACTAAATAGAGTTGTTGTCTGTTGATGCAGTAACTCTATGAATCCTTTTGGAGTTTGGTTTTTAGAGAAGAGAGGAGAAGGGTATGTAAATGGATTTGATTGATCTTTGGATTTCAAGCGAGTAGTGTTGATTAGGTAAGGTAGCGTAGGAAAGATATCGTTGGTTTCTTGTGTGTTGCAGCGTGTGTATTTAAGAGAATATGAAGTGTGGGTTTCAAGACTTGAAAGAGTTGAAATCAGAGTTTCGGGTTTTATTGTTTCTTCTTCTATTGATGATGTGATGTCTTTTATAGCTCTTTCCATCATCAGAATACTATTCTCTTAATTCTCTTTGTAATTAAACTCATACACAACACAACTTACATAAACCACCAAAAACCTTAAATCAGATCAACCAAACGTGGTTTCATTCCCCCAAACTTTTTTTTTTTTTCATTCATTCCCCAAACTTAGACATCATAGTCTCTCAAATCCTATCACATCGTTGGAATTGTTTAGTGTATGGAACATTCAAAGGCACATGTATGAAGGATGATGATGTAGCTTTGTGATGGCGGAGAATTGGAAACATATTGCGTGTGAAATGAGAGAAGAACTCGGCACTGATTTGTGGCTTTTTTTTTTAATTTGCTTAATGAGTGACAGCTTCTACGTACATGCAACTTGACGTGTGTGTGTTTCTTTTAATTTATAAAAATAATTACATACTTAGTCACCCAAAATCTAATCTAAACCCTCCCCACTATCTCTGTTTTTATGACCGACACATTCATTTCCCTCCTATCCTGATTTAAATCCTTCTAATTCCTAATTTCTGAAATTGAACTCCAAGCGAATCTGTGATTATTAGAACGTTTTATACCTGAGAGGGTCTTACGCTTCTAGCGCGACAAGAGGAGACGTAAAGCTTTTTATGTAAAAGGATGTCATGATTATCTCATGATTACGATATAATGGCATGCTTTATAGTATTAATAAACTATTTTAAATAGATTAGTGCATGTAACAAAAGGAGAGTGTAGTACATTTGTCACGAGAGTCATATCAAAGAACTCTCACATTTTAATCTTTAAAATGGTTCCAAAAAGTAAAATGGATCCTACAAAAAAAGAAAAGTAAGAGAAAAGAAATGGGAGAAGAATCATAGAAGAGAGATAGATGCCTTGAGATATACTGTTTTGTGTTTTACATTGTGATTTGTGATCTTCCTCTCTTCTTTTTCCCCTTTATCTTTTGACTTACTATTCATTTCTGCCTTTTCTACACTAATTTTTGTTTTTCAAGTTGTTTGTTTATGAATAATTGATTTCTAGTCAATCATATAAGTCTTATCACCTAAATTATTTTTTACAAACTGATTCCATTTATTTTAAAATAACAATATTTGATTCAAATTCGAAACCATATGATTTGATCTCGGATAGATATTTCCAACGCATATGGCTTAAGAAAATGAAACGTGATTTTATTCATATCAGCGTAATGAATGTCATGTATATTGCATGGTAAACTGGAAGTAACATTATAATTAGGAAGCCCAATAATACAAACTATTAAATGAGTTAACTAAAAGTTTTATATGAGAATTTTGGAAAAAAAGAAGGGTTGGCCTATATGATGCAAAGAACAATTCCTGTTTCATACTAGTGTTGTTGAAATCTGAATACACCTTTTCTCCCCTATTGATTACCCTTAGCTTCAAAGTTCAAATTAGCTTTTTCCATAAACTAAGATATTTGATCAATGACGATACATATTTTATTCCACAAAAGACATATAAACAGTGAATAATAATACCTCAATAATTTGAAAGACTTTTTGTTTTATCTTTCCAAGTGCTTTGACTTTTAACCCTTTATTTACCCATCACAAGACAAGTCAACCTTTATTTCCCTCTAGAAGCCTTTGTGGCTCATAATAATAATAAACTTGAAAAAAATGAACCAATTAAAAGTTACAGTTCACGTTTATTTGCTTTTAATTATCTGCATATTAATAATGAGATGGCCATATTGATTCAATCGTATTTCACTTGTTTTGCAAGGAACTCTAAATTATATACTAGTAAACAATATACACCCAAATTGACCAACTTATATTACACAAAAGATTAAGAGAATACGTTTATACAAGAAGATCCAAAAAATTGTGACGCCATTTTAATAAGAGGTATAGTGGGTTTTCTTGTTCCTTAATCTCAGCTGCCGTGGAAAATAAGTGTAAGTAGTAAATTTATTGAATTAGATTATGATTGTTAGATTTATAACACATCCCTATCAAATCTTTGATTATAATTTGATTTTGGGTCCCCGAAGACAGGCGTCATTAGGTACAATTTTAATACCCCAAGATTATAATTAAGCATCTATCTTTATTAATGGATTAAACAAAAATTCAAATATCAATTCAGTATTATCATTGTAAATTTGAAATTTGTCATTTTATTAAGTTTTCTAAACAATTCTTTATTTTATGATAAATTTGTGTAGGAAGATTAAGAATATATTAATCATACATACAAAATTTACTCTAAAAAATTTCAAAGATACAATGAAGATTATATAACTCGTCACGAGCTAACGTGATAATATCAAAGATGGTGGAGGAGCATTCTGAGTGACTTAGTAAGATACAACGCGAGCGTGCTGACTTCTTGGGTATTGACATGAAGGAACAAGAGTTAGAGTACTACATCGAAAATAAACAAGAAGAACTAGAAAATTCTTGGAAAAAATTTCGAGGGAGAGAGAGAAGTATCAGGTGACTATAGTTTACATACAACTATTTGGATACACCTGATAAGAAGGCTTTTGAGCAAGGGAAAAAGTTGGAGGAACAAAATTGCACTCAAATAAGAGTGTTGACGAACAAAATATATATCTCTCCTAAACAACTATTTGAAACTTGTGAATCTTTGGATACAAGAGGTCGGTCGTACATAAACTTGTGGTTATTTTGTTTCCGTGTTATATTGATTTCCAAAATTTTCATTTAATCATCAAATTTATGTGAAATAAAGAATATGTTTTTTTTTTAATATAGAAAAGCTTTTTTTTTTTTTAATAAAACCATATAGATAAGTTTAAATATCTTTTTGTTAATGGTAAAATTTCTCCATGGGTTGGCAAATTTTGTTGACCAACCATAACGGAATTTACTCTCACACAAATTTCAACATCTCTACTTCTCTTTTCATCTCTTTTGGTTGCACATATCATTAACTCCTTTCCTTTTCAAAAGACAAATATATATTATATAGCAAGTGATTCACCATCCACCAAATGTGATCTTCTAAGTGGTGATATTTCTTTCAACAATGTCATTTATGGATTTAAATAATTTATCTCCCCTTATATATTTTGATATACTATATATGAATAAGTTTATTTGTAATTTATCCAAGAACGTTAATTGTAGGAATACGGTGCCACTCTTTTCTTGAATTATATTCTTGAGTTTTGGTTTAAAGAAACTGTATACATGTTCACGATTTTTTATTTATTTATTAGTAAAACATATAGTATCAGTGTTCTTGTGTTCTTAGTTTAACTATATATTATATTAATTGATCATACTCAATAGGAATTTGTGTATTAAACAAAAAAAAAAAACATGAAATAAGAAAAATCTTAGTTAATTCACACATTTCCATCACCAAACATTCGAAGTATTTGTCTCTATGTCGACAACATATTATACACACCTTTGTACGTACTATACTAAAAAACTATAATACAAAATATATCACTAGACATGTTTGACTCTATAATATAGATGGTTTTTTATACACATATCAACATACAAGTCTAATTCGTCACTTATTGGTTCAAATTGGAATAATACATTGAATTCTTCTAACATTCTCGATGACCAAGTCTATCACATGTAATAAAAGCATACATAATTGGTCTTTCTTTTTTCGTTGTTATTCGTAAGCTGCCATGCAAGTGGGGTTTCAAGCTTTCGCAAATTCTCATGTAATAAATATATGAATGATTAATTAATCCATATGTCGTTCAATTATTATCAAATTTAAAGTATATCGCATGGTACTTGGATTATACTGTATATACGAAATGTCGTTTTCGTAATCACACTCCTAAACTACGGATCAGATATATAATCACCAAGATTAAATAATATAAAAACATAATCCACTACTTGCGAGGACATGAATCATGAGGAAACTTCTATAGCGTGTAATTTCATACAACAAGTCATATGCTATGAGTATGCGTATACATTTACTATATAACCCATAGGATGAATATGGATTCTTTTTTCTTTTAAACAAAATATTTGACTGGAAGAAAAATGTGACTATACACAACGATCAATTCAACATATTATATAGGCTATAAACCCTATAAAAATATATTATAAATTGCCGAGTCTAATATGTCTGTTTTACAATATAAATTTAGTTATGTCATTGTATTGCTTATTTCAAGTTAAGAACTTGTTTAGATTCATTAAATTATTACTTTTTAAATATATCATCCATAACCATATAATTAAATAAAGATTAGAGGCAAGAAAAATGAATCGGAAAAGAGTGATTAGGAAGAGAGTAATATATCGTCAAAGGATGGCGGGCGCGCGGTTATATATGAAAGCACTAAAACTTATGAGTTTTATGATTTATGGAAAATATAATAAAACTTGTTGTCAAAACAAAACTATAAAGATATAATTGTGTCGAATTATTAATGAAATTGAACCCCTAGATTCTAAAAGAGGACCAAGGACAAATGAGAAAAAACATTAGTCTCCCCCTTCTCTGTCACATTTCTTAACTCTACTAATATTTTTTTTATGATCCAATTTTTCCAATTCCATAAAGTCACTTTTTGTAACATTTTTATTTTAATGCTCTACTTTTTGACATCTTCCATCACATGAAGGACTATCTCCTCCAGCTATTATATACTCTCTCTCTCTCCTTTAATTTTTTCTCCATTCACATATAATTTTTCAGCTTTACACACATTTCCGTGTATGTATATATAAACCTCACACACACGCACCATCCATCATACACCATCCTCTTCCTTCCTTCTCTTTGTCATCAACACAATTGAGAAAGATAGCGAGAGAGATTGACAAGAGAAAGAGAGATAAAATAAGAACAAGAGCAAGAGTACTTAAGAAGATGGGAAGAGCACCGTGTTGTGATAAGGCCAACGTGAAGAAAGGGCCTTGGTCTCCTGAGGAAGACGCCAAACTCAAAGATTACATCGAGAATAGTGGCACAGGAGGCAACTGGATCGCTTTGCCTCAAAAGATTGGTATGTACTTTTTTAAAAAAAATCTCTTTTGATTTATAATTCTTACTGAGCCAATTTCCAAATATGTGAGACAGTCGTCTATATATGTACGTGTGTTGATATTTATATATATATTCACGGTATAGGTTTAAGGAGATGTGGGAAGAGTTGCAGGCTAAGGTGGCTCAACTATTTGAGACCAAACATCAAGCATGGTGGCTTCTCCGAGGAAGAAGACAACATCATTTGTAATCTCTATGTTACTATTGGTAGCAGGTACTTATACATATATCATATGCATGGATATGGATATGAATTATTATTTGACACACTTAATTAGTCTTGACTTAGAGACTCACTATATCTCTTTTGCTTGATATTAATTAGGTGGTCTATAATTGCTGCTCAATTGCCGGGAAGAACGGACAACGATATCAAGAACTACTGGAACACGAGGCTGAAGAAGAAGCTTCTTAACAAACAAAGGAAAGAGTTTCAAGAAGCCCGAATGAAGCAAGAGATGGTGATGATGAAAAGACAACAACAAGGACAAGGTCAAAGTAATGGTAGCACCGATCTTTATCTTAACAACATGTTCGGGTCACCACCATGGCCATTGCTACCACAGCTTCCTCCTCCTCCTCATCATCAAATACCCCTTGTGATGATGGAACCATCAAGCTGCAACTACTACCAAACGACACCGTCTTGTAACCTAGAACAAAAACCATTGATCACACTCAAGAACATGGTCAAGATTGAAGAAGAACCAGAAAGGACAAGCCCTGATCATCATCATCAACATCAAGATTCTATGACAAACCCTTTTGATTTCTCCTTCTCTCAGCTTTTGTTAGATCCTAATTACTACTTGGGATCAGGAGGGGGAGGAGAAGGAGATTTTTCGATCATGAGCAGCAGCACAAACTCACCATTACCAAACACAAGTGGTGATCACCATCAAAATCAACAGCAAGAGATTCTTCAATGGTTTGGGAGCAGTAATTTTCAGACAGAAGCAATCAACGATATGTTCTTGAGCAACAACAACAACAACATGGCGAATCTTGAGACCAACGAGAACACAAAAGTTTATGGAGACTCCTTAGTAGCTGAAGTCGGAGCAGCTAATTTGGCCGGAGGAACGACGAGTACATCGGCGGATCAAAGTACAATAAGTTGGGAGGATATAACATCTCTTGTTAATTCCGAAGATGCAAGTTACTTCAATGGGCCAAATCATGTGTGACATTTTATTTATATTTACTTATATATATAAAAGAGGGTTTTTTTCCAATTTTGTATAAATTTGTGTCTTAGTGGTAGAAATATATGGATTAAGATTAATATTCATGCATGAACTTGTTTCTTTTAGTTTCAACGTATTAACCTTTCTTCGAACATTTTTTTGAGTTTTCCTTTATTGCTTTATAAATGTGAAAGAGATTCTACCTTTTAGCTTCTTCTTTTTTTTTCCCTAATTAATTAGGTCTGAATTTATACTACTATATTTTATAACTTTTGCTAATTACATCTGACACATGAAAAGAAGGAAACAACTATGAATCTGAATACGAGAGCCTTAAAAGAGGATTGTCTTTTAAACGCACAAACATCGATCACCAATTACATTATAGGAACTAAACAATTCTTCGATTTCTTAATTATATAAATAAAGTTTTTCTATTTTAATGTTAAGACTATTATTTATCTTATAGCATACATTAAGAAATATATAGTTATTTCCGAAAAATATTAAACAGTAATTGTTAGGTGCCCATAGTAATGGAGAATCCAAGGATGATTTTCTTCCCTGTTTCGTATTCAACTCTACTTGAGTCTTCTATATGTATATGTATATTCATGAATTATTATTATGATACATATTTCATTTCACAACAGTGAAATATTTCTGACAGTCAAATTTTGCCAAACTAAGAAATAGGTAATCAACATTTTTTTGTTTGTCTTTTTCTTTTATACATATATTAACTCTTGACTGAGATAATATAGAACTTTAATCTATTCAATAACCACTCTTTGATTATTAGGCTTACAGTTATTCAATAATTTTGTAAATGTACAGATATGTCTATCTGTAAATGTATATGTACGTATGTACGTAAGCGAAGGTTATATATTTGTAGTTTATCTTTATCATATAAAGTTGTATTTGTAGTTGAATTAACATATAAATAAGTATGAATTGTCGACCAACAGAAAAGAATTATTAAACTAATTTTAAAAGAATGGTGTAATAAGGACACGTATATGGTCGGATCTATATGGCTTCGTCTGATCAGAGATACTCCGACAAACACTCGAATACACATATATGTGTGTGTATGCACAACTATATATAATGTTACTTGTCATTTAATTAATGTAAAGACTAGCTACTACTGCACTTGGATCTCTCCGGTTTGCAATGCACAATGTCGCTGGAAACCATTAATTTTTTAAAAATAATAAAAATTGAGATATTGTGAAATGGTTCCTAGCTCTTGTATAGATTGTTGTTGTTAATCAATGATGATAAATAAATAAATGAAACAAGAAAAAGGAAGAGTTCTCTTACCAATTCAACAAAGGTGTACGTCTAGCTTCGAAATTCTCTCTAGTCAGTTTGGGAATTTGAAGATCACAGAATCAAAATGATGTCACTCAAAATTCTCCTTTTTCCTGTTTGAGTTTGGCACATATCTTTGCCCATTCAAACCTCTAAATAAAATCATTTCATTTCTACCAATTTTGTTTGGTGATGGAAGAAAAAAAAACATGCATCATTTGTTTTCCTTTACCAAATTTAAACAAAAACATCTTAAAAACTATCACTTCTTTGAAAATATATCATTCTTTGTTTGATTAATTTTTATGTAGATACTGACGATGCATGAACCTAGAATCCAAAGATTGAGTTCCGGTTCCTATCGTTCCGATCAAAGCCATATAATCCTTTGGAGAAAATGCAACCGCCTCAGGCCAATCTCATTGAACACATTAACACCATCTTCAAGAATGGTCAAAGTTTTCGTAGATGAATATAGATTTTTGGTTTCGAACCCTACCCACCCAATTATAATCTTTGCATGGTTTGGAAAAGTTACAGTTCTCTATCTTTTCTTTCCTTTTTTTGTACTTGTTGTTTTGTTCTTCAGATATTTTTCAAAATAATATACGCCTATATCTCACGTAAATCAACATTAGTTAGGTTCAAAAAACAAATTAATTATACGTTTAGAGACGACGAAACATTCGTATTCTACATTGACTTTAAAAAAAGCTACATAGTATATAATTAGACGGGTTTATCAACTCCACTCAAAGAAAGACAATTTGTACTCTTAATCGGCGAGGTGTAAATTTCAATAGTTCACATGATCTAACATATGTCCGGCACTATCATGGTGTTCACATTATATTAATATGTATTACGCAAATAGTATACATTTTGTATACATTTTAGATATGCCCAATTGTATGTTCTTAAAAAGAAATACTGTTTATATATATTTCATACAAAAAAAAAATTATTTATATATATAGATATTGTTTTTGTTCGGCAAACTACAATTACAAAAATTGATGAAATTATGCACCATCGACAAAAGTTTCTTTTGATATGACAACTCGTTAACCAAACAATATCTAACAGTCCACTACATTTATAGGATTTTTATCTAGAAAATGACGTTGTAATTATGGTTTTGTAACCGTGCTTGGTACTATACGTAAATATATAATGATTAAGAATAAGAATGTTTTTGTTAGTCTCAGTTTTGTACATACATACGCTTACGGACAATAAAATAATGTGTGTGATTTTCAAAAAAATAATTGTCTGAAAGACAAGTCATTTTGTATGTTCCAAACATTCTCTACAAACAGAAAAACGACAAATCTTAAGGAATTATCCTCCTCTAATTAACATAGTATGAATTAAATCCACAATTATGGATAAAAGAGAATTATTAATTAAAAAAATCGTAATCTAGGGAGGAAAATTAGGAGATTCTAGAGATAGTGATGATGAAGATTATGTATGTAAGCACTTGCATAAGTGGATGGCGGGACGTGTCTTGACCATGTACTTGGATGCTATACTTAGCGTAGCCGTAAATATATAACTTTTTATAGTTTCTATTAAAGCATTTCTCATCTACCTACCAAAATGCACCATCACATATGTATACCAGTAAAACGTTACAAGTGATATATGGATAATATTTGATAAAAACTTACTACACGATCCCGTATTTTTTCCGATGATCTAAATAAAAATATGAAAAGCTTTACGTAGTCATAAATCTTCAGTAATTTCCACATTGGTGGAATAGTTATGCTTAACTGAAAATAAATGAATTATTCATATTTTCAATAATTTTCTTCAGAAACCAATTGTTTATTTAGGTCTTTCTTGGGTCAAAGTAAAGCAAAATATTGTATATGAAAAGAAGGAATAAGTATAGTCGAGAAGAAATCAAGGAACAAAACGATATATATGAATGAGAGAGACTATATGCATGCGAATATTAATAATAATACGAATTGATCATTAACTTATGATTAAATAGTTTAATGCATATAAGATTAATGGTACATTCTGTCAAACCTCTAGACGATAAGTAAAACAACACCATATAAGACCTTGATTAGCCTCGCGACAATTCGCCTCGCGACGACATTTTTTTTAGTATTAATTAATGATATAATTTCTTTGTTTAACCATTTTAAATTGGACCATTGTCAAAAAGGAGCCAACGTACTTAATTATTATATACTAAAAGATCATATAATGCAGCTGATGCTGACACTCACTAACACGTTAATATTATTAACCCTGATTTTTATATATATAATAATAATAGTTATCTTTTCAACTTTGTGTTTCTGTTTTCTGTCCGTTTAAAAAGTTAGGAAATTTGTTTTTATTTACATAAAATATTGGAAAATGTTTGATTGTGGAAATGGGAGTAATGTCGCGTCCGTCTGATTTTTTTTGTATATGTTTTTCACTTTTTTTATTTTATTATTTTATAATATTGTTTCCATTACGTATATCGGTATATGAGATTTGGCGAGTTCTTGTTATCTGCTTATGGAGAAAAGATATGGGAAAATGTTAAAATATCTTTTTTTTTTTTTTTTCAACTTTGAAATTTTTTAAGATAAAATATTGTTTCACTGATTATTTTGTATTACTATATACATGTCTATATCCATATCCCTAAACATCCCAAAAACAAAATAAAACGACTGATTCAATATACAAAAGACTTGCAAGGCCCGTTAAAGCCCATTTGTATTAATATATGGTAATGGTACATTATAAGGTTCCTGTAATTTATGTCTCGTGTGGGCCCATAAAAGCCCATTTGTTACGACTTCGAAGGAATCAGATAATTAAGCATTGTATTGTATGCCATTAAATTACTTAAGTTGAAAGGCAGGAAGAGCCGACTAAATTTACTATCTTCGAAATAACAATTAGCCAAAGTCAAATAATAAAAAGAGAGATTAATTAGGGTAAACGATGTTCGTAAAGATGGGAAGAAGAGGATGAACATTGATAAACTCCATCTGCAATTAACAAATCGACTTTATATTATATATAATTCATGACGGTGCATCTAAGCCAAAGAAACAAATCTTTGTGTGATTTGATACTTGTTTCTTACGTAACAAATGTGCGATGAATCTTCTTAATCGTGCACATATTAAGTGGATGTGTATATACGAAGTACATTATTAATTTAAGTTCTATAGCGTAATTATATATAGTAAATTTGAGAATATATATGTTCTTATATTTAATTATAGCTAAAATGACTTCTCGATTCATAAGCTATGCATCAAGTACGAGAAAGCTAACGTGACCCACATGGTATATTAGAGCTTATAATATAGTAGGAAATTGCAATTCGGATTATTTTTTTTTTTTTTTCCATATTAATATGTTATATATATGTATGCATCAAGAATGTATATTGTAAGTAGCAATGCCATGCGTAGATGACCCCTCATGCACACATGAAGAACATCAAATGGGTCCTCGCATATAGTTGTATGTAATTTAAAATCCAAATGAATTTGTCCAATGGTCGAATCCAAAGATGGAGAAAAACACCAAATATTACAGTTCATTTTTTGTTATGCATATACATTTGATCACTATGTATATTTATGTGTGTGTGTGTATGTGTATGTATAAGATGTGTTATATGTTTTTTGTATCATGACATGTGCAGTTTATATGGCCTTACTCGTGAAGCCCACGTGATTGAAAGCTTGGTTCAAAACTTGTCATGCATGTTACATACCCATATCTACTTTACAATATATACGTTGATGAAGATA